ATATATATATGTATGTATATATATATATATATATATATATATATATATATAATATAGGGGGTTATAATTATACCAGTGCAACTTTTACTAAGTATTATGCCGCTCTATAACTTTATATTAAATGTGAATTTTGTAAATCCAACCGTTAAATTGAAAGTTCATATCACTTTATACGTGTATATCAAACTTTGTTAAAATTGAACAACAACTGGAAGATAAATCATAAGAGGGGGGTTATAATTACAATGTTAAAATTGAACAACAACCGGAAAATAGCCCCGGATTAATATAAAGTTTTGTATATATAATCTATAAGAGATATGAGCTTTCAATCTAATAGTTGGATTTACCAAATTCACATTTAATATAAAGTTATTGAGCGGCATAATACTTAGTAAAAGTTACACTGGTATTAAAATCCAAACTTAAAATTGATTAGAATTAGAAGTTTCTTTGTGAGCATTGACAAGGTCTTGGAATTCTTGGCTTGAGCTCAAAATATGGTGATAAGGAGCTTGCTGTAGGATTTCTCCATCTGACATGAACTATAATGGAAAATAACTCAGTTACAAAGTCCAAGTTGGAAAAAAATGACTGAAAAATAACTAAACAATGATTTGTTTTTGGATAACCATGTTATTGATACGAAATATCCACTAATTTTACCGATAAATAGTCTTTGTGAGAGAACATGAGTGGTTATCTTTAGTGGGATCTCTCCTTTTAACCATGTTCAATTTCGAGATCTTACTTAAGGAAACTGAGTGCAGTACCACTTGGACAAACAACTTGTTGGTAAGTGGTAACTAAACAATAATTTACTACTCACTTAGCAACATTAAAATGAAGTGGCAAAAACTACTATAGCAGAAAGAAGAGCTCACATATAAGATTCTAAAGTCAAAACAGTCCATTTCTTTCTGAATTGAGGAACCTTGTTATTATTGATTTTGGAAAATTAATGTATCTTCTCTAGTAGATTCCACTCATCTTCAAAAAGTATTTAATGTTAAAGTCTTGATAGTAATTTAACAGGTATTTTCCTTAGGAAATGTTAAAAGTATTAATTATGATACATGGGTGAAAAACAGCATAATAATCGACAGATCTCGTTCTTTAGCCTAACATGTTAAACCAAATAGGTAGAAGCAGGATAAACAAGAAAAAAGATATTGAAACAAAACAAAAATGAAACCAATTAGTTCATTACATATCAACAATTGCTAGTTACTTCAAGTTTTTGAAAGATCCTTCTACATGCTTCAGCCATTTGTTGGTTATTTGCTTTGATGTGTTACTACTGATCATGCTGTCACTAAAAATGATTCACAAGTCTTCACCGAGATCATTTTGGACTCTAATCCGAATGGAAAGTTATTCAAATTTGCAGTTAGTATCTATCATAATCGATGGTAGTCTTGGGTTGTTGCATTTGTGTTTAGGTATTTGGGTTTTAGAGGAAAAGTTGAGGAAAACGAACACTGCTTTTCCTCTTAATTGGTGGTTATTAGAACTCTTTCAGGGATTCACATGGTTGTTAGTAGGTTTAATCGTAAGTCTTCAGTTGAAGCAACTAGCAAGAGTATGGTTATGGTTATTTTCTATTCTTATGTTCTTTGTTTCTGTTATGCTATGTGCTTTTTCCATTTCTCATGCAATTACTAGCAAAGAAATGTCTCTGAAGGCTACTTTAGACGTTCTATCATTTCCAGGAGCAATTTTACTACTCTCATGCACTTATAAAACATGCAAATGTAAAGACACTAATGAAGAAAATGATGAAAGACATTATGCTCCTTTAAATGGCCAGTTCAATGAAGTTGATCCTATTAGCTACGTAACCCCATTTGCCAAAGCTGGATTCTTTAGTAGGATGTCATTTTGGTGGTTGAATCCATTGATGAAAAGGGGTCAAGATAAAACACTTGAGGATGAGGATATCCCAAAGTTGCGGGAGTTAGATCGAGCAGAAACTTGTTACCTTTTGTTTGTAGAACAATTGAACAAACAGAAACAAAAGGAACCGTCATCACTGTCAATTTTGTGGGTAATAATTTTGTGTCACTGGAGAGAGATTTTGATATCAGGGATTTTTGCATTGTTCAAAGTACTCTCTCAATCTGCTGGTCCTTTACTTCTAAATGCCTTTATATTGGTTTCTGAGGGTAAAGGAAGTTTCAAATATGAAGGTTATGTATTGGCCATATCACTTTTCTTTATAAAGATCATAGAATCCCAATCACAAAGGCAATGGTATTTCCGCAGTAGACTTGTTGGGATGAATGTTAAGTCACTGCTTACTACATGCATTTATAAAAAGCTATTGAGGTTATCCAATGTAGCTAAATTGACACACTCTGGTGGTGAGATAATGAATTATGTGACTGTGGATGCTTATAGAATTGGAGAATTCCCATTTTGGTTTCACCAGACATGGACTACAAGCATCCAACTGTGTATTGCATTAGTAATACTTTTCCGTGCTATTGGGCTAGCAACAATTGCCTCATTGGTTGTGATAGTTCTTACTATGCTTTGCAATACTCCACTAGCAAAGTTACAACACAAGTTTCAGACCAAACTCATGGTGGCTCAAGATGAGAGATTGAAGGCTAGTTCCGAGGCTATTGTGAATATGAAAGTGCTAAAACTATATGCATGGGAAAGTCATTATAAAAATGCTATAGAAAAGTTGAGGAATGTGGAACTCAAATTTTTAGCTTCAGTGCAATTAAGAAGGGCATACAATATATTTCTCTTTTGGAGTGCACCTATTTTGGTCTCTGCTGTTTCCTTTTGGGCATGTTACTTTCTGAACATTCCTTTACATGCAAATAATGTATTTACCTTTGTGGCTACTTTACGCCTTGTGCAAGAGCCAATAACAGCCATCCCAGATGTTGTTGGGGCAGTCATTCAAGCAAAAGTTGCATTTGCTCGGATTGTTAAATTCCTCAAAGCATCTGAACTGGAAAGTGAAAATTTCAAGAACAAGTGTTTTGATGATAATATTAGAGGCTCAATTTTAATCGAATCTGCTGACTTTTCATGGGAAGGTAATGCATCAAAGCCTACTTTGAGGAACATAAACTTGGAGGTTAAACAAAGGCAAAAGGTGGCTATTTGTGGACAAGTTGGCTCAGGAAAATCAACCCTCTTAGCAACAATTCTTGGAGAAGTTCCTAAGACAAAGGGAAATGTAATCTTTTATTCTTTGTTTGCTCATAAAATACCATATGAAAACTTGTGATGCTCTGGTTGGTTATAATATGAATGACATTCCTACTTTTCTGTCACCAAGTATATTTAGTAAATGTCCTCACCATATTGCAGTGAAGCATTCATGTCCTTAATTTAACCAGTAATGTTATGAATGTCTAATTCATTTTCTGATTTACAGATTGAAATTTATGGGAAGTTTGCATATGTTTCGCAAACAGCATGGATACAGACGGGTACAATACGGGAAAATATTTTGTTTGGATCTGATTTGGACATGCATAGATATCAAGAAACACTTCATAGATCTTCACTAGTTAAGGACATTGAGCTGTTTCCCCATGGTGACTTAACTGAAATAGGTGAGAGAGGAACTAACTTGAGTGGAGGTCAAAAGCAGCGAATTCAACTTGCTCGTGCTCTTTATCAGAATGCTGATGTATATCTCTTGGATGATCCATTCAGTGCTGTTGATGCAAATACAGCCACAAATTTGTTTAATGTAATGACATCTTCCTTTCATCAAATGCTGCTTGTATATTTGTCATTCTTTACTGAAAGATGTCTTCGAATCTTGGCAGGAATACATCATGGAAGGACTAAAAGGGAAGACTGTCTTACTCGTGACTCATCAAGTTGACTTTCTCCCAGCGTTTGATTCTGTTTTGGTAATTTCATTCATCTTAAGGCATTAATTTAGAATGCCAATGCCACTGTTCATCTTTCATATCTCTGTTTCCTGCCATGTAACTAGCAATTGTTGATTTGTAATGAACTAATTGGTTTCATTTTTGTTTTGTTTCAATATCTTTCTTGTTTATCCTGCTTCTACCTATTTGGTTTAACATGTTAGGCTAAAGAACGAGACCTGTCGATTATTATGCTGTTTTTCACCCATGTATCATAATTAATACTTTTAACATTTCCTAAGGAAAATACCTGTTAAATTACTATCAAGACTTTAACATTAAATACTTTTTGAAGATGAGTGGAATCTACTAGAGAAGATAATTAATTTTCCAGAATCAATAATAACAAGGTTCCTCAATTCAGAAAGAAATGGACTGTTTTGACTTTAGAAGCTTATATTTGAGCTCTTGTTCCTGCTATAGTAGTTTTTGCCACTTCATTTTAATGTTGCTAAGTGAGTAGTAAATTATTGTTTAGTTACCAACAAGTTGTTGGTCCAAGTGGTACTGCACTCAGTTTCCTTAAGTAAGATCTCGAATTGAACATGGTTAAAAGGAGAGATCCCACTAAAGGTGATCAGTCATGTTCTCTCACAAAGATTATTTATCGGTAAAATTAGTGGATATTTCGTACGAATAACATGGTTATCCAAAAAAAATCATTGTTTAGTTATTTTTCAGTCATTTTTTTCCAACTTGGACTTTGTAACTGAGTTATTTTCCATTATAGTTCATGTCAGATGGAGAAATCCTACAGCAAGCTCCTTATCACCATATTTTGAGCTCAAGCCAAGAATTCCAAGACCTTGTCAATGCTCACAAAGAAACTTCTAATTCTAATCAATTTGTGAGTGTTACATCTTCCCAGAGAAATTTGACTTCTGATAGAGAGATTACACAAGCTTTCATGGAGAAGCAGTTTAAAGCAACAAATAGAGATCAATTAATTAAGCAAGAAGAGAGAGAGACAGGGGACACAGGGTTGAAGCCTTACAGGCAGTATCTGAATCAGATGAAAGGCTATATATACTTTTCTATGGTTTCCCTTTGTTACATTGCCTTCGTTATTTGCCAGATATTGCAAAACTCATGGATGGCAGCAAATGTTGACAATCCCTATGTCAGCTCGTTACAATTGATTCTTGTTTACATCTTGATTGGAGCAATTTCAACTATTTTCTTACTGATCAGATGTCTAACTACAGTTTCCTTGGGTATTAAATCATCACAAAATTTATTTGTACAGTTGATGGATTCACTTTTTCGTGCACCAATGTCATTTTATGACTCTACACCGATGGGAAGAATACTTAGCAGAGTAAGCATATAAACAATTTCTTTGCAATGAAATATAATGAAGGTAATAGTATTTTGACTGTCATTTCCTTGTCAAGGTCTCATCAGATTTGAGCATTGTGGATCTCGATATACCCTTCAGCCTTGGTATATCTGTTGGAGGACCTATAATTTGTTGTTCTAATCTTTTAGTTTTAGCAATTGTCACTTGGCAAGTCTTGGTTGTCTCTATACCAATGGTGTACATTGCGATTTGCTTGCAGGTAATTAACAGATTCTTCTTTGAAATATATTGTAATAGAGAAATAGTGTCTTCTTTTTAATTTCTATTGGCACATACATTTACATAAACCTCAATTTTGTACGAGGAGCTGATATGTTTTAAGCCTTCTCTACTTTAGCCTTTCAAATACTTGGAAGGTAAGCATATTAAAGATTTGTTCTTTCTGTTTTTGAATAGAGATACTTTTTTGCCTCTGCCAAAGAAGTGATGCGGATGAATGGCACAACAAAATCCTTTGTAGCTAATCATTTTGCTGAAACTGTTGCTGGAGTTGTGTTAAGAAAAACCAGAACAGAGAAGTTGAAACAGAAAAAACTGGAACAGAGAAGTTGAGTTTCTGGTTTTTTTTTGTTTCAATGAAAGGAAGAAAAGTGGTTACACAATTTCATTATTCATTTCCACACTCTCCGTAGAGTTGCATTACATCAAATATATGACAAGAGAGATTTCTGATATGCATATCATATGCTACAGTAAATCTCCACAAAATAAAGATAAACACTCCTTTTTACCTAAACATTTGTCCAAGCAACAAACAAATCTCTTGAAATATGGATTTCCACTTAATTATACCTAACCACACCAAATGCAACTAAGATACAAACAGACATAAATATTTAATATTTTCTTAAAGTATCTAGAAAAATCTTAACTTCTAACACCTAATTTCTCCATTCATATAGCTCTATTTTCATTATTTTACAAAACATATGTATGCAAACGTGTAACCCGTCCTAGACACGAGACAGTTAATTATAATGTAAAAGTTGAGTTATTTTGTATTGCATTGACACATCAATTTAAAATGTCTCTGAAATGATTTCATCTCACAAAAAATACTTCCGTGTGATTCCATAATATTATCTTATTTTATTATAACTAATTAACAACAAATCATATATCTACATATATAAGTACAAACCCTAACGTTTTCCTCAATGTTTATTTTTAACGATTTTTAATAGAACAGTGTGAACACAATTTTGTGATGTAATCCATAAAAACCTAGCAACTATAAATATTATGTGATTAATATATAACAATTTTCATATATTTATTTCATATCTTTACATTCCAAAATAATAATTATCATGTTACAAAATTTTGATATACATATATTAAAATATTATATAAAAACATGAAATTTCAATAAACCGCACCGCAAGTCCATGTCTAGTTCACAATAAAACCAATTTTCCAGCATCAACGTGATTCTATAGTAGATTGAAAATGAGAGTAGTATTCATTGACAAGCTGCCTGAATAGTGATCCTTCAGTCTTCATTAGGCTCATTGGTTCATCATATTCCACCAAATTTCCTGTTAATACAATATCCTTTTCTTTGAAGAAAACATGTAAATGATAAGAAATACTCTTCAACTTCTTTGTTTGTTGTCTTCAAGTGTGAAATCAGGTAACCCATAATTTATAAGTTATCATTTATAAGCCATGGAAGTGTACGGAAATGTTAAATCAATTACCTTATTGTTTATCATATTACCATCTACGTTAATGCTATGCAACCAGACCCTTTTCTCAACAACAAACCTATGTGTTGTGTTGCTCAAACCAAGTGGTATTTGCACTCTTAAATGTTCAATTTTTATAAAAGGATAGTTTGGTATCAACATTAGAAAATGGAAGTAGACTTAAGGACTAGTCTTAAAAGTTTGTTAAATGATATAAAATGCAGTCAATATGCAACTTACCTTCACTGATTGAAAGAACCATTGTACAATCCATCACGGTTGGTATTCTGTGAGCTACTGTGATCACTGTGCAATCTGCAAACTCAGTCCTAATGGTTTTCTGCAGAATCATATCAGTTATGTTATCAATTGATGCAGTTGCTTCATCCAACACCAATATTTTACTTCTTCTCAAAAGAGCACGCCCCAAACAGAATAGTTGTCTTTGTCCCATGCTCCAGTTTGATCCCTCTCCAACAACTAAGTAACAATTTCAATGAGTCATTACTAATTAGGAAAAAAGCTCTTGCAGTATAGTAAAATTTTGGTTTAATTACCCTTGTGGTCCTTAAAGTTTCATGAACTTTATTTTTAGTCTCTATAATTAAAAATATTCATTTTAGTCTTAATTTATACATACTATTTTTGTTTCCTTTTAGTCTTTATAATTTCATAACTTTAGATTGTAATCCCTATAGCAGTATATGATAACGATAGGGACTAGAAACAAAAGCTGTATGTATAGGAACAAAAAGGGAATGTTTTGTAACTATAGAAATTAAAAGATAAAAGTTTATGAAACTATAAGGACTAAAAGGATAATTAAACAATAAAATTCTGAAACTTTAAGTTGTACCTGAGGAGTTGAGGCCATCTTCTTTCTCTTGAACAGTTTCTCGCAATTGACATTTACCAAGAACCTGAGTTTATATTATGCATGAATTAGTCCATATTTGCTCTGAAAATCTATGATAAAATGAATGTAACAAAGTGTTACCTCCCATATCTCTTGATCAGAATGTTGAGATAAAGGGTCCAAATTATATCTAACTGTTCCATTGAAAAGGGTAGGATCCTGAGGTATAATACAAAAACGTGACCTCAAATCATGAAGGCCAATAGAAGAGATGTCTATGCCATCAACTACAATTTTTCCACCAGCTGGCTCCACAAGACGAAATAAAGCACCTATAAGAGTGGATTTCCCACTGCCTGTCCTGCCAACAATGCCAATCTTGTGCCCTCCTACAAATGTGCAAGTGATACCATGGAGTACAAGTGGCCCTTCAAGCCTATATCTTATCTGTTTTCGGTATACACCAGAAAATTGTGCAGTTCATTTAAACTCTTATATTTTATAACACTATCCTGCAAATTTTAAGATATGTAATTAAACAAGTACCTGCAGATCATGTATTTCCACTTTTCCTGCAACTGGCCAATTCAAAGGAGGGCGATTTCCTTCTATTACTTCTTCGGCCTCACTTGGAATATGCATATATTGATTTATCCTTTCTACAGATATTATATAATTTGCTAGATTGCATTGACTTTGAATTGAAACTACTAGAGAAGCGTTTAGGGAAAATCCATAAGAGAGAGCCATGCCAATAAATCCTGGAAAAAAGGATATTGAAATTAAGAAGCATGCACCAAGAAAGTTAATGCTACTTTCTGAGGAAAAAAGAAAATAATTTTGAGGATAGTACTCAAAGAATGACATTTCAGAGGTCACAATGACCAAAAGTCCTACCAGGGGCGAAAGTCCCGGGTGGAAGCATAACCATGCAAAGCGCTGCAGAGGCGAGAACTACTGCAGAGACCATTTCTAAGCGTTGGATCAACCATTCATTTGAAGAAAAACTATGGAAGAAAGAACTGGCATTGATATCAATTAGATCAAGATTCTTATCAAAGAAACGAGCTTCCTCCTCAAAAGCCCTTATTGTCACAACTCCAGCAACAGTTTCAGCAAAATGATTAGCTACAAAGGATTTTGTTGTGCCATTCATCCGCATCACTTCTTTGGCAGAGGCAAAAAAGTATCTCTATTCAAAAACAGAAAGAACAAATCTTTAATATGCTTACCTTCCAAGTATTTGAAAGGCTAAAGTAGAGAAGGCTTAAAACATATCAGCTCCTCGTACAAAATTGAGGTTTATGTAAATGTATGTGCCAATAGAAATTAAAAAGAAGACACTATTTCTCTATTACAATATATTTCAAAGAAGAATCTGTTAATTACCTGCAAGCAAATCGCAATGTACACCATTGGTATAGAGACAACCAAGACTTGCCAAGTGACAATTGCTAAAACTAAAAGATTAGAACAACAAATTATAGGTCCTCCAACAGATATACCAAGGCTGAAGGGTATATCGAGATCCACAATGCTCAAATCTGATGAGACCTTGACAAGGAAATGACAGTCAAAATACTATTACCTTCATTATATTTCATTGCAAAGAAATTGTTTATATGCTTACTCTGCTAAGTATTCTTCCCATCGGTGTAGAGTCATAAAATGACATTGGTGCACGAAAAAGTGAATCCATCAACTGTACAAATAAATTTTGTGATGATTTAATACCCAAGGAAACTGTAGTTAGACATCTGATCAGTAAGAAAATAGTTGAAATTGCTCCAATCAAGATGTAAACAAGAATCAATTGTAACGAGCTGACATAGGGATTGTCAACATTTGCTGCCATCCATGAGTTTTGCAATATCTGGCAAATAACGAAGGCAATGTAACAAAGGGAAACCATAGAAAAGTATATATAGCCTTTCATCTGATTCAGATACTGCCTGTAAGGCTTCAACCCTGTGTCCCCTGTCTCTCTCTCTTCTTGCTTAATTAATTGATCTCTATTTGTTGCTTTAAACTGCTTCTCCATGAAAGCTTGTGTAATCTCTCTATCAGAAGTCAAATTTCTCTGGGAAGATGTAACACTCACAAATTGATTAGAATTAGAAGTTTCTTTGTGAGCATTGACAAGGTCTTGGAATTCTTGGCTTGAGCTCAAAATATGGTGATAAGGAGCTTGCTGTAGGATTTCTCCATCTGACATGAACTATAATGGAAAATAACTCAGTTACAAAGTCCAAGTTGGAAAAAAATGACTGAAAAATAACTAAACAATGATTTTTTTTGGATAACCATGTTATTCGTACGAAATATCCACTAATTTTACCGATAAATAATCTTTGTGAGAGAACATGACTGATCACCTTTAGTGGGATCTCTCCTTTTAACCATGTTCAATTCGAGATCTTACTTAAGGAAACTGAGTGCAGTACCACTTGGACCAACAACTTGTTGGTAACTAAACAATAATTTACTACTCACTTAGCAACATTAAAATGAAGTGGCAAAAACTACTATAGCAGGAACAAGAGCTCAAATATAAGCTTCTAAAATACATATTGTTTATATCCTCTGCTAAAATACATAAACATACAGCAATATTCATTAAGCATCAGTCTTATATTACAGGGCTGAGCACCTTTTTCTTTCACTACAACAAAATTGGCACATAGTGACACACACTCTATAGTGGCACTATACATGTCACTAAAAATTACTTTTACCTACACAATAACTACAATATATGTTGGTATATTATTAAAATGTGTAGTATAGATTATAGTGACACACAAAATATATTGTTAAATTTTATTCAAAATCAACACTAAAATTATATGTAACTATATGTCAAATAGACATATATCTATGTATGTTGTACCTATAGTGACACTTTTTGTATGTCACTATATATGTAATATTTGTGTAGAGTTTCTTTTTTTCTTTTTTCTGTTTGAATGAATTGAATTATCTCATCTAAGTGTAATGATACTAAACAATAGTTTCAGTAGAAAGATAATCATCGTATTGTATAATCTCTCATTGGAGGAAGCCCGTATATAGTTGTTGCTCCAGATCAGTCGTAATAAAAGCCCTCTACTATGGTATAACTATGAAGCCATCATTGGAGATTGGTGTCAAGAATTGCAAATTCTTGATCTTGCCACCACTTACAAAGGCAGCAACTTTGACGAAGAATGAAAAATCAATGACTTTTACACTGAGAAAGATATCTCAACCCGAATTGTACATTAGAAAGATCTAGTTACAATGGCCATCAAATTTAGGCCAATGTTATTTGTTTATTTTGCAGTGATACCT